CAAGGGGGCAACTGATAAGATACCAATGTCAGGAACAATGCAATTAATATATTACCTTTATTATGTGTTTATGTTATGTAACTATATATGTCATAATTTTATGATCTTGGAAGAAGAAACCTTACTTTTTAATCATTGTTAATTATACTGTTTTCTTTTAAGCATTTTAATTGGATTTTCTATGTAAAAAGAAGGAAAATCACCTTTTACTGTTGCTTGTACCTAGAGATATTACAGGTGATACTCTGAGGATAGAAAGACAGAAGAAAGAACAGGAATAGCACACTAATCCTAAATTTCTAACAATTAATATATCTCCTTACCTCCTTACTGCATTTCTTGTAATAAGAAAAATCAACCTACTTCGCTAAGATGGATAGAAAGGGAAAACAATCACCAGTAGGTTATTGACATTTTAGTGTGTAGAAAGTTTCAGGTTCAATTCCTGGCATCTCCAGTTTAGGTTTAGTGATAGAGAAGGAGAATTATATTTTCAAGAAAGATTGAAGTTTTTGGATATTTTCAGAATTTTAGTCTTCCAAAATAGAACTATAAATTAATTCTCTGCTTGCATTCTATCCAATGTGTAGGCTCCATAATGTAATCCTAATTTCTATAAAACAGCTGGGGTATGTGCGCTAAAACTTTCTTTGAATTTGGGGAGTCCTGGGCTGTTGTGCCCAGGGACTAACCTATCCCTGACTTCCTATAAGGATGGTAAGAAGGGGTCAGAGATGAGATTTTTCCATCCATATCTGACATCAGTGCCCCTTATTTTTATTGTACATCCCTTTCTCTTCCTGCAGATTTTGCGATTCATCAATGACCGGGATTTGCTGAGCACCCATGAACAGCTTCTAGGGAACTACATAGCAAGCCGGGGAGTGGCCAGCGCCCCACTACGCGATGAACTGCTGAGCCAAGTGGCCACCCAGCTGTGGAAAAACCCAGATCTGGAGCAATGCCAACGAGGCTGGGTATTGATGGCTACCCTCCTGAGTGCCTTCGCACCTTCACCAGCTCTGGAGAAGCCTCTGCTGAAGTAAGAAGTGGGGCTTTTTCCTTGCTGGGTTTCGGGAAGCATTGAAATAGCAGCAGTGGTTACTGAAGGCTCCTCATTTGCTGGGATGTAGGTTTGTGTCAGATCATGGTCTGGAGGGCTACAACGGAATGTGCCAGCGCAAACTCTTAACCTCCATGAAGCAGATGGAGAGTTACTTGGAGCTGTCCCGCAGTTTCCCTCCCACCCGCCTGGAGTGGACTGCCAATCAGAGGAAAGGAAAGATGGTGCTAGAAGTCTGCACTTATAAAGGTAATCGTTGCTCTCCAATTCAGCACTCAATCAATCAATGTAGTGGTGAGATTCAAAAAATTTTTACTACAGGTTCTGTGGGTGTGGCTTGGTGGGCGTGGCAGAGAAAGGATGCTGTAAAACCTCCAGTCAGAGGTGATATTTGCCAGTTCTCCGAACTACTCAAAATTTCCGCTACCGGTTCTCTAGAACTGGTCAAAACCTGCTGAATACCACCTCTGAATCAATGAGAATAGATCTTGGAGGTCTTCTATCTGACCTCTTCCTCAAGTAGGAGACCCTACACCATTTCAGACAAGTGGCTGTCCAGTCTCTTCTTTAAAACCTCCGGTGATGAAGCACACACAATTTCTGAAGACAAGTTGTTCCACGGGTTAATTGTTCTCACACTTAGGAAGTTTCTCCTTAATTCCAGGTTGCTTTTCTCCTCCATTAGTTTCCATCCATTGTTTCTTATCTTATAGCTTTATGTTTTCGGGAGTAGCATTTTCAAAACCAGTGAACTGTGGAACTGTATGTGGAATATACTGAAGCTCTCTGTTCCAAAGGTTTTAGTCTGACTAGCAAGACTGCAAGTACAACAAACCTTCGTACAAAATGTTCCATTGTTTTTCTTTGGGTCTACAGGGAGACAAAGGTTTCCTGTCCCACTGCAATTTATAGTGCAGTTTTGGTGAACCTTTTTGGCCCTGGGTGCCAAAATGGGAGCGTGCGCACGGGAGAACACCGGACACTAGAAGAGCAGCTCCCCCAGGGTGCATGCGTGCAATGGGAAGCTGAGCTTCCAACTTCCAGTGTGTGCATGCACGCCGGCCACCTGATCTTCTGGTTTCTGGCATGCATGCGCGCATGAAGACCAGCTGGCGCATCAGAAACTGGAAGCTCAACTTCCTGGCACATGCATGCATGCCAGGGAGCTGCTCTTCTAGTTTCTGGCACTCCCATGTGCAAAGACCAGCTGGCCAGCATCCATGTGCATGCTGGAATCCGGAAGAGGAATGAGTTGATGGCTGGTGTGCCCAGAGAGATGGCTCTGCGTGCTACTTCTGGCACACATGCTATAGGTTTGCCATCACAGTTATAGTGCATTGCTAGCATGAGAGCAAAGTCAGAAATCCAGGGCCTGAGAACAGACTGGGCCATTACAATACAGGAGTCATCCAGTTGTATCACTATGAAATCAGTATCTCTCAGTCCTCTATGATAGACAGGTTGGAGAAAGAGACATAACAGTTGAACCTCAGTCTGCTGTATGTTTTAAAATTGAGGGTATAGGGAGTAAAAACAGGAGTAAAAAAAAGCAGAGCTTTTAATATTTCAGAATAAATATGTAACATTAAGCTGTCAATCTCACATCTACAGTGAGCTGCTCACACTGCAACCTGTATGCCCATTTATTTTGGCCGTCCTTTCCATTATCAGGATGGCCTCCTGTGTACCTACTAGAGAGGTGCCCAGAAGAATCCAACCTTGCAGAATTAAACAATATATATGAAACAATATATTTTGGGGAGCAGGGAGAATAGGAAAGAAATATGACTAGCTGGCAGGCATTGTACAGTATAGCAAGGTTTTCTTATAGGTTATGTTCATGGTTTTTAAACTCTCTTTTTCTTTGGTTTAGAGGAGAGGATTTCAGCAGAAGTAGAATCTTGGACCACAGGAGAGCAATATGCAGGCTGGATCCTGAACTCAAGGTAATCTAAAAGCAAAGAGAAATTGGGATTTGCCTCTTTTTTCAAAAAACCCAGTTAGTTGCTTTTAGATGTCCACCAGAGCTAAAGACTGTATTCATTGATAGAATTTCTAATCACCAGCAGAGATCTCCCGTTTCTTTAAAGACTCATCCAAATGATCTACAAACATATCCTTTATTACTTTGCAAGATAGTTCAGAGACTTGAAAAAGCAGAAGTTTGAAGGAAAATGATAATGTTTATTTCATTTACTCTTGAAACAATCGCCTCTGAATTCAATGGCCCTTATTCATTATTCAGTAATGACTCTTCTGCAGTGAGAGATTTGATATTCTTTCAGGTTATTCATTAATTTTCAAAAGTCCAACTCTTATCTCTGTTGCATATGCCCTATGATAACCTGAAATTTATTAGCTTTTCTTATGATATTCTTATGCATATTGTTTATGTGAGGTGTTAACCAGCACATAAGAAATACAGAAGGGATGTGGTGGCTCAGTGACTAAGACATTGAGCTTGTCAATCAGAAAAGTTGGCAGTTTGAATCCCTAGCACTGTGCAATGGAGTGAGCTCCCGTTACTTTTCCCGCTTCTGCCAACCTAGCAGTTCGAAAACATGTAAAAATACAAGTAGAAAAATAGGGACCACTTTGGTGGGAAGATAACAGTGTTCCATGCACCTTCGGCATTTATTCATGCTAGTCACATGATCACAGAGACGTCTTTGGACAGCGCTGGCTCTTCGGCTTTATAACCGAGATTAGCACCGCCCCCTAGAGCCAGAAACAACTAGCACAACTAGCGCTAGTGCAAGAGGACCTTACCTTTAAGAAATACAGAAGCTGGAGGAGGAACATATGATTTTCCTCCCTGTTCCCTACTCAGACCATCTTCCTGGTCCTTTTCACTGCTTCATATCATCCTCTGCTACTTCCTGTGACACTATGTCTCCTCTCTTTGTTGATCTCAGAGGTCTGGATACAGTCCCTCGCGGATGGTCCGTATCAATGTTCACAGGCAACAATTGGCAGGATTTAGCAGGCTGTGACTTTGTGTTGGATCTCATTGGTGAAATGGAGGAAGTAAATTGTCCTTCTCAGTCCTCCTCTAATTATCCTATTCACCCGGAGAGGGATGTGAGCTACTTTCAAAAGAACTCTCCAAACAGGTAAGTGGCTGCCTGATTACCTCCTGTCCCCAGCAACCTCTCTCTTGTATCCCCAGAACTCTCTGCTTTTGAGGCCCCACTCTTATTTCTTTTTTTGATAGGATGTGCTTGGATATCCCTCCTGCACCGACCTTTAAGGCCCCTTCTTTCCCTCCACCTCCCCTGCCTCCCACGTTTAACAAGGCAGTCCATCCAGGTGAGTCTTCATCTCAGGTCAGGAGTTCAAAGGCATCTGAGAATGCTGGGGAGAAATTGATCTTTGCATCCTGAACCAGTGGTGGCATACTACTGGTTCGTCCCAGTTCACCTGAACCAGTAGTAAAAGTTACTACCCAGTAGTAAAAAAAAAAAAAGCCTCCATCAGCTGAGAGGAGGGGGGAAGAAGCCTCCGACAAAGAGCTGAGAGGATAAAAGACCAAAAAGTGCATGGGAGGGTGGGAGGGTCACTCCTAGATTTTCGTTTCTTCATCCTGTCAGCTGATTGGCTTGTTAGGTGCGCGCACATTAGGGGTGCGCATGCATGCACATGTGATCGCCCACCAAACTGGTATCGACTAAGGTAGGATCCCACTACTGTCCTGAAGCCACAAAAGCTCCCCATATTTGGACCTTGGGCAGGAGGGGGAGATACTCAACTAATGCATTGAGGATAGATGAAGGAAATGAGCAAGGGATAGTAATGGAGATGGACAGGAGTTTTATTTCTTTGATTAACAAGGATTGTTTTTATCCCTTCCCGAATTAGACATCATGAATAGTCCAACTCCCTCTAGAGAAATGGATCACTACGTGGATGGCCTCTTTAAACCTCTGTTACATGCTGGCTCCAGATCTCATATGTCAGTAAGTCTAATCTTATCTAAGGTTTTTTTTGCTGTCCCTCATACATCACTTTCTGATACCAGTGGGCACCGAGAACAGAACAATGGTGGTGTTTGTGATCACTGCCTCTTTGCCAAACATATATGATCTCCAGGAGTAGCTAGAGTTGAAACTAAATGTTGATATCTCTTTTTTTTTTCCCCCTGCCTCTCTGCAGGATATGGAAAGTGAGGCAAGCCTGACTGGTCGTATGAAAGGAGGTGGGAAAATTGGACCTATGAATCAAGGAGTCTATTCAGGTATGAGTTTGAATACGGGGAGGAGAACAACAGGGACTTACTTGGTAGGATAGTGGTGGCTCCTGCAACTGTTCTTTTTGGTTTTTAGCAATTCTGGAATCGAGGCTTATTATCCATACTGCTGGGATGAGGATTATTTGACCTAAATATTTCTGGGATGAGGATTATTAAATTATATTAATTTTATATTAATTTATAATTAATTTAAATATTTAGTCTAAATATTTCTCCCTGCATCTAGGGAGGTTAAAAAAAGAAAGGGTGGGGAGTGCGGGGAAGGAAAACAACTGTACAAGGACAGCATGAAAAATCTCTAAAAACTGTGGTATAGAATTCCATATGCTTCAAATACAAATATATTCAAATATAATTCCTTTAGAGGGGGAAATGTAAAAAAAATGTTACAACGCTTGTACTATTAAATGTATTTGTAACTGCATGTATCTTTTACAAAGGTAAAACATATGTTCCCATACATAACAATAATATAACTAGCGGTATGTCAGTATTATAAAATACAGTGAATAATCTACACAGGGCTTCCCTTGAAGACCACCCAGAAGCTACAGCTGATCCAAAATGCAGCTGCGTGAGCGGTGGTAGAGAGATTGCGTTAGACTCACGTGCCTCTATTGCTTTGCAAGCTGCACTGGTTCCTGTTTGGCTTCCATATGCAATTCAAGGTGCTGCTTATCACCCTTAAAATCTTTTGTGGCGTAAGGGCTTTGGATTTTATCTAGGGCCATCAGATCTGGCCTGCAAAACTCCAGACAAACACAAGGATAGAATATTGTTGCAATCTAGCGGTCATCCAGGTTTGTGCAACCCAAAACAGGGAGCCATAACCGGCCAGACTCTCTTCTCTCCATCCATCAGGTTACCCTGGAATGATGACTATGCCAGCTTTTCCATCTATGCCAGTTATGGGAGGAATGATGCCAGCCACCATGCCGGGAATGCCAGGTAACAAGAACACAAGAATGTGAGGGCTCAGGTGGGATGAAACCCAGCAGAGAAGAAAAAGCCCAGCCCCTGGGAGAAGCCCACAATCTTCCTAACAATGTTAGGTTTTCCAGCATTAAATGATCACATTGCAAGTGATTAAAGCATGGGTGTCAAATTCACACTGTCACATTGCTGTCATGTGACGTATCACGATGTTTTCCCTGTTTGTGAAGCTGGGGTGGGTGTGGCCTGCGTATGAAGTTTGACACCCATGCATTTTTGCATTTTTGTCTGTCAGTTCCATTCTTTGCTACTGGCTTCCCTCATTATAATTGCATGATTATGAACATGTTTTTATAAAAAAATATTTTATTTGCAAATACTTTTTTATAATTTGACACATGCTTAAATCATCCTCAAAATGTAATTTTGATGTACATATGTGTGTAGTTTTTTTTTTTTTTAAATTGGGCTATGCTTCTTGTTTATCACGATCCCTGATAGTCTGCCAGTGGATAAACATCAGTTTAGCAGACTTATGACCATAATTAAGCCTGAAATATCAATGTCTCATAGTATGGATTGGTTTCAGTTGCTATCTGCTTACTATTGGTATAAACCAGGAATGTCAAACTCAGGCCCTGCGGGCTGGCCTGGAAATAGCAAAGGAGCAGCCCCCAGTGCCTCTGGCAGCCAAAATGGGGCACAGGGAGGCCTTGTTTTGGCTGGCAGAGTGCTGCAGGAGACATCTGTCCCATCTTCCCCAGCCCGGCCGGCCCACCCACCGAGGAGAACTATAATGCTGATCCGGCCCTCAAAGAAATCTAGTTTGACACCCTTGGTATAAACACTATAAGAAGAAGCCACTGCTTGTTTTTCATCCAATTATAATATTAATTTCTTCATTCTTATCCTCTGGCCATGATAATTCCTCTAGGAATGCAATCATCTTTTAAACTGTTTATTTGAATTTATTACCCCCCTGCCAATTCCAATGGACTTTGGACAGCGTTCGCATCTTATACATTTTTCATTCAAGTGAAAGCTTCCTGTTTGTAGCTTATGCAAGAATTGCTGTGCATTTAACAGCGTGTGGGGACATATGCATTGTGATTCTAGGTGAATTCCGCCCCCCTTTTGCTTTCAGCTATGATGATGACTCAGCCCATGATGCCTCCAGTGGATCCTAACCAGGCAGCAGCACAGCAACAATCAGTCATCAACCAACAAGCCCTGCTTCTGGTACGTGACAGGGTTAGAGGGAAAGAGTACGCAAGACAGGGAATAGACTTGGCTGGGAGTCATGCCTAGTTTGCCAGTTCCCACAACAATCTGAAGAAATCATTTCTTGCGCAATGCGGTGCATCAAAGGGCCAAGTTATGACTGAGCATCTACTACAGGTAACGTGCAACCTCAGTTGAGTCCAAAAATTTATGTTACTAAATGAGAAATTTGTTAAGTGAGCTTTGTCCTAATTTGCGACATTTCTTGGCTCAGTTGTTAAGTGAATCACTGCAGTTGTAAAATTAGTCACCGGGTTGATAAGTGAATCTGATTTCCCCATTGACTCTGACTGTCAGAAGGTCTCAAAAGGTGATCACGTGTCCACAGGACACTGCAGCCATCATGAACGTGAGTCAATTGTCAAGCATCCCAATGTAAATCATGTGACAATGGGCATGCATGCTGCAACAGTCATAGGTGTGAAAAAAGGTCATAAGCCACTTTTTTTCAGTGCCGTTGTAACTTTGAATGGTCACTAAGCAAACTGTTGTAAATCTAAGATTACCTGTACTAGGGAATGGGTTCAATATAGAGAAATTGCCTCATGGGAAGGTTGTTTTTTTTTGCCAAATTTGTGCATGATTGAAATGTACAAATGAGTGAATTCATGAATTAAAGATATGCCAGTGGTACCATATTTACAGATAGTTCTTGACTTACAACAGTTGGCTCATGACTGTTTGAAGTTACAATGGCACTGAAAAATGTGACTTATGACTGACCTTTGCAGCATCCCCATGATCCCATGTGACCAAAATTCAGGTGCTTGGCCACTGGTTCCTATTTATGACCTTTGCTGTGTCCCAAAGTCCTGTGACCCACCTTATGGGATCTTCTGACAAGCAAAGTCAACGGGGAAGCCAGATTCACTCAACAGCACAGTTCCTAATTGATCAACTGCAGTGATTCACTTAACAACCGAGGCAAAAATTGTCATAAATTGGGGTAAAACTCACTTAACCAATGCCTTACTTAACAACAGAAAGTTTGGCCTCAATTGTGGTCTTAAGTTGTAGGCTGCTGTATTCATTGTATTTGTGTTAAGCTTTACTTAAGAGCAAGGTGGGAGATATTAGAGAATAATAGATGTAGAGGAGAAACACGTGAAGAGAACGAGCAAAAGGAAAATTTTAAAACATGAAAAGTGAAACCATAGTTCAGTTATGATGAAAAGTAATCGGAGATCTGAATGTTGGTGAATATAAATCTGCAAAGTTAAATAAGGAGCAACAAAATATGAATTTGATTTTGTAGGCTCAGCAGATGACACTTCAAGCTATGAAAATGTCAGAACAGGATCAGCAGTGGCAAAAGAAGTATAGATCTCCTGAGCGTTCACCCCCAAAGCGAATATCTTCACATAGATCACATGAATATTCAAGACAAAGAGAACCCTCACCTCACAATTCACCTACATTGTCAAGGCCAAGACGAGCATCACCAAAGAGGAGGACATCTGAACATTTAAGACGAAGGCCATCATCATCAGAAAGCTCACCTGAATCTTTAAGATCAAGACGAGTCTCACCAAGGAAGCGATCACCTGAAGCTTCGAGGCCAAGACGAATCTCACCAAGGAAGCGATCACCTGAAGCTTCGAGGCCAAGAAAGAGCAGGTCACCTGAATCTTCAAGCCCAAAGGAAACCTTACTCCTCAAGAGGCCTCCTGAACTTTCAAGATCAGAAAAGGTGTCAATAAAGGAACAGCCTTCTGAATCTTCAAGACCAAAGCAAAATTCTTCTTCTCCTCCACCTCCCCCACGATCCCCGGTACGGAGTATTCCTTAATAGAATTCTTTTTCTGGATGATACTCCACTGAGTCTGCATGTTGGAAGAGAGGGAAAGAATCCTATTACTTCATTTTATGTGGTATAGAACATGACATCCCCCCAGATACATATTTGTTGTATCTGAATTCCAAGAAACTCAGAATTCATAGATAAGGTCATCTCATTTTAGTTATCTGCCAATATATCTGATCATAGATTTGAAAGTTAGTGTGTATTCGGATGTATTCAGTTTTAAATTTCTGGCTATTTATCAGCTTGTATTAAATAATTGAACTAGTCATATAGTCACAAATTACATAGGTTTGTAGGACTGGAAAAGAAAACCAATGGAATGGAAAAATAACCTGTCATTATTCTTTGTAGTTTGGTAGTCCATAATTCATATCTTCCTCTGCTTGTTGATTTGGTCAAGTGCTATGGGACAAAATGCTGATTTCACAAGGGGAAAAAATGGGATTTCTGCCCAGCTCCCAAGGTTTAAAGAGAAAAGAAGAGAGAGATTGCTATTCAGAGTCCCCTGTAGTTAGGCAGCTAATAAATTTAAATGAAATAAATAAAATGAAGTTCAAGCTTTCTGCCATTATATTTGCTCTTAACTTAGAAGACTTGGCCTCAAATCTTACACACATCAGATGATAAGGTAAATCCATTTTCTGTTGTTAAAATAAGCCTGCATTAAGTTCTTCCATTTATTCTTTGAGCTAACATAAGTACATTAAATGTGCAAATACATAAAATGTACCATAAAATTAACTGAGAAAAGGCTAGAATAGAATCATTTCCTCCGACATCTTGTTTTAATTTATATTGTTCTGAAGTGAACTGAAGAAGAACCTTCTTAGACGAGAAGCAAAAAAATATTCAAGGAAAAGCAAAGTCCAGTTGCCTTTTGGAAAAGCATGGCCTGGATGACTGAGAATCTCTATAGACTTGTTTATGTCCTCAGGGATTTTCCTTAATAGAAGATCATTTTGTTACTTACACTCATAGACTTAGGTGTACTCCCACATTTTCTAATTGTAAAAAATAGGCTTAATTTTTGATAGGTGATAGAATTGCCTTGGAAAGCACCCATCTGCTTGGAGAAAGGTGCTCAGGCATATCTCCCTTGGAGTTTAAGATTCTTCTGAGGATGAAACAGTAGTAATATGGAAAAAATTGAGTCCCCAAAACCAGCTCAGTGAAATCTCTGTCAGGATTCGAACATATTAGAGAAGACAGCCTCTATTTTTTTTCCCTTCAAGTTTGCTAATATGTTTTGATCAAATGCTTTCCATGAGTATTTTTATTACTCATCTGTGATTGGGAAAAGTGGATCTAGAAGTATATTTAGCTGTTTAGCTGTTTCTCTAAAGAAGAAATCAAGGACCCACATTTTAACCCACCTTCTGCTGTATGTCGTAGATCCACATTTTGGAAGATGAGGTGCCTGTCGACATCAGAGTAGATTCCCTCTCTAGGGGGACTTTTCAAAAGAAAATAGAATTCTTCCAGAGACTGGGTAAGTTGTAAGCTAATGTCCCTCCCAGATTGTCGTATCTTTATTTTTTAATACTAATGCAAGAAGATCTTTGTTACAGCCTTCTCATACTTCCAAGTAAAGTTTTTGTAAGAATAAGAATGAATTCTTGAGATGTGATTAATTCTTTTCAGTTCTTCAAATAGAAATTAATATTGATAACAGGAATAGGATGAGGACTTCTAATGACAAACCAGCTTTGTGCGTCCATTGTCCGACGATTAGGATTCAGTAAAAAAAAAAATATTTCCAGTCATATTCTCTGATATATTTACATGGTTTAGAAGAGTGGTCTCCAAACTTGGCAACTTTAAGACTTGTGGACTTCAACTCCCAGAATTCTCCAGCCACCTTTGCTGGAGAATTCTGAGAGTTGAAGTCCACAAGTCTTGAAGTTGCCAAATTTAGAGACCTCAGTTTTGGAATAATCTAAATCTTTGGTTTGCTAAAGACTTCCTTTGTTGTAGTGGCATCTAAGTCTCAGTGCAGTTCTTTCCCCCTATATACAGGTAGTTCTACAACAGTTCATTTAGTGACTATTTGAGTTACAACGGCACTGAAAAAAGCGACTTGTGACCATTTTTCACACTTATGACCGTTGTGGCATCTCCATGGTCACGTGATCAAAATTCAGACGCTTAATATTTGGTTCATATTTATGATGGCTGCAGTGTCTCAGGGTCAAGTGATTCCCTTTTGCCATTTCTGACAAACAAAGTCAATGGGGAAGGAGATTCACTTAACAATCATGTTACTAACTTAATAACTGCAGTGATTAATTTAATAAATGTGGCAAGAAAGTTATAAAATAGGGCAAAATTCACTTAACAACTGTCTTACTTAGCAACATAAATTTTGGGCTTGATTGTGGTTATACATTGAGGACTAGCTACATAGTCTACTTCTGACTGTCCATAATCCATACACTTTTAAAAAGTAAAATTTAGCTGTATCAGTCTCTTAAATCATTTTCAATCTCTGTTACTCTGGTTTCTTGCAGATTTTGCTTAGACTGATGCTAGGAAATAGAATAGAATAGAATAGAATAGAATAGAATTCTTTATTGGCCAAGTGTGATTGGACACACAAGGAACTTGTCTTAGTGCATATGCTCTCAGTGTACATAAAAGAAAAGATACGTTCATCAAGAATCATAAGATACAACACTTAACAATAGCCATAGGGTGCAATAAGCAATCAAATCATACTAGGAAACAGTCAATTTTAAAATTGTATGGATACAAGCAACAAAGTTACAGTCATACAGTCATGAGTGTCATAAGAAAAAACATAGATCCATGCTTGGACTTCTTCTTTTATATAGGAATTGAAACAATTCCATTGAAGAAAGTCATTTCCTCTTCAAAAAGTGATAGAATAAAGGAAAAGCCAGAGGACCCAAGTGCCAACCACGAATCAAATTCAGGTAAGCTGTGAACACTTCTGATCAGCAACTGAATACTTTCAAAAGCTCCTGCAAGAGACTTTCAACAGCTTGATTCTTAATGTTGTTGCAAGAGGACCCAAAGTGCTACCATACTAGTTTTGGGAATGATCTTTTTGTTGCAGCAGATATTTTTTGTAGGTAATAGCTGATTTTGAAGGGGTCCTTGGTGCTCAACTGAACTTGGTTGTTTTCTTGCAGACATTTCATTATCCAAATTAGGTAACATCATCATTGTTAGTGAAGAGTAGGGTTTGCTCTCAGTTTATATTTTAGTGGCTTGCCCTGTCAGTGTTGGGGAAGGGGTTTTGGAGATTCATTGGTTGTTTACTATTAGATTATTTGGCAGTTCCTTGGTCGGAGTATTGTCTACTTCTTGATTGTTGGTCTGATATTAATCTTGGAGATTTTATCAGATATGATAAAGAAATAATGCCAAAATATGAATGCATGGAAGAAGACATCAATTAGATGTTGACTACTCTTTGATCTGAGCGAACTGCAGGACAATCCATGATTTTTAAAAAATATTAATCTTCTATAGACCAATTTTTCTATTTGCCTTTCACCTTATTACAGCATGTTTTTGAGAAGTCCCAAAACATGTTGTAATAGCATTTCATGGGTGAGAGTATGATTCTGCACCCCAAATGGCTTCCTTCATATTAATCTCTGCAGAAAGGGCTGTGGTTAGAGCACAGAGACATATTCACTCACTCACTCACTCAACAAATCTATATAGCAATCTATCCAAGGAACCCTGGGGTTGCTTTTCCATCCTGTTCCCTCAACTTTTCTACTTTGAAACAGTTGCTTTTGCTATTTGTGTCATTACCCATTCTATTTTCTTAGATATGCACACAGGATGAAAACAGCAAGGTATTTGTGTAAGAGATTGGACAGTAGCTGTTTAGAAACTATTGGAGAATACAAAACAGTGTGTGTGGAAGGGGGGAGATTTAATAGGGTTGTAATTAAAAAAAAAAAAAGGAAATACATACTCTTAATTCTTTACTTCAGATTTACCACCTCCTTTGCAACTGGAAAATTATCAGGAGAAGAAATTCCGAGATATGAAGCCTGAACAGCCTGAACCAAGCCAGGAGATACGGAACATTATTAAAACCCACAAGAATCGTCCAGTCCCACCACCAAAACCCGTCATGCCCGTTAGGTAAGAAATGTGCCAAGTTGAGCAAAGATCTCCCCTGGTGGTTGAAGTTGCAGAAAGAAAAGATTCAGGCCATTCCTAGAACTTCTCAGTTTGAGGGAAGGAGGAAAGTCTGTTAATGTGTGAGTTGGTCATTGACAAAATATCTGTCTCCCAATACTGGACATTTCTTGCATAAGTGACTAACCATCTCGTCACAGGATTCCCTTCCTACAGTAGGAACAGCCATGGAGCTTTTGTATCTACATATGTAAGAGAACTTCTGTAAACAAAGTCTCTAAGGTTGGGTCTTTTGTTGTGCACAATCCATGGTGGTCCACACAACAGGTCATCTTAGCTGGTTTTTGTTTGATTGCAGAGACATCTCTAAAACTCTAATGAAATCTGAGCCAAAGGAGGAAGCTCTAGCAAAACTGGAGGCTTTAGAGTTGAATCATTCATTGGTGAGTGTCTGATGGGTTACTTTCAATCTAGTGTGAAGAAGGAAATGTCCTGCCAAGTTTGCAGGCTTAAATTTCCAATCAGCTCATAGTGCTTACTGGGAAGCCACAAATAATTCACATTTTCTTTGCCCAGCCTGTGGATAAAAATCTGCCACCAAAGGGAAAATAGAACTTATTTTCATAACACATGAAAACAACTCACCTGACTACAAATGTTTGCAAATGTTCTGTCTGTTCTCTGGATGGAACTCAATCTTCCAAAAATAATTTTCATAGCTTGAACCAAAAGACACCATGATTTGACTTAGAGACAAGGCACCGCTAACTCTATTTATATGCTTTTAAAAGCTATTCACACTACTAATAAACTGTTATAGCATTTATAATGTTTGCTCCATTTAAATCATCCTAATGGGTCCATCTATAGAACTCTTATCAAATGAAATAAACCAACTAAATGCCAATTGTCTTCAGTAACTTAGAAGAGTTCTGTCAGAAACCTTCCAGCTTACATGATTGTTTGCTTTTTATATTACATGTTGTCAAAGACTAACTTGCTAGCTGTGTGATGTGAATGAGAAGCTAATTATATGTGAGTAACATACAACCATGGCTGAATTGAGCGTTTGTTCTTCCTTTCTGCTCCCCCATCCCAGGTCTCCTCTGAAAAATGTAAGCCATCACCACCTTCACCACCGCCCAAACCCTCCAAAACCATCAAAGAAAAACAACTGGTGCTCACAAGTGTTTTTGGTCCTCACAGCTCAGTGATTCCTCCTCCCCCTCCTGGCCCGCCCCCTTCTTTCCCTCCAGATTGTGTCACAGATGAAACAAAAGGTAAGCAAACCCTCTCTGATACTGTAGATCAGGGGTGTCCAACCTTGGCAACTTTAAGACTTGTGGACTTCAATTCCCAGAAAGCTGGCTGAGGAATTCTGGGAGTTGAAGTCCACAAGTCTTAAAGTTGCCAAGGTTGGACACCCCTGCTGTAGATGTTGGCAGATCTGCTGTTGATTAAGTTAGGAAGCAGCCATCGTTACAGCTGGAGTGTTTTTCCTGGGGGAAAAAGTGGTAAGCATTTCGGGCGTCACTCTGGATACATTTATTTTACAAAACTAATCAAGGTTTTTGGCTAATGTAGCTAAAGTTGCGCAATATAACCTGGTCTTCATTGCATTTCATAAATAACATAATTTTACAGCGCAGCAGGAGATAAACTGTAAAGGTGATGCAGTAGCAACGTTCCTTCTTATTTTGAATTTATTATTTCCACAAAAATATTTTAGTTCACCTTTTGAGTTTATATAATATTGTACCAGAAGCAAAAAAAGGTTGATTTTTGAGTATTTATTTATTAAGAAATTTATTTGCTGCCTATCTCATGATCTCATGACTCAGGGCAGCTTACAGGATAAAAACATTAAAATCATCAGATATGCAATGAAAAAATAGATAAATTAAAATCATGAATACAAAACGGTGAAGGAGGGACCTGGATACACGGAGTGGGGTGGGGAGGTGGGATTAGCTTTTAATTAGTCAACCACCTCCAGTATGAAGTTCCCTCATTGGGTTCCCAAGCCATCTGGCAGAGTCAGGTCTTAAAACCCTTACAAAAAGTCAGGAGGTTGAGAGCCAATCTCATTTCAGGGGCAACATATTTCAAAGGGCAGGAGCCATGGCAGAGAAAGCTCTTCTCTTGCATCCTGCCAGCTGAAATTCTTTGACTGACGAGATCCACAGTATGAATATGCTATTTTGAAAGCATTCGAAAGCGGTGATGGCACAGTGGTTAGAATGCAGAATTGCAGGCAAACTTCTGCCCACAGCCAGGAGTTCAATCCTGACAGGGCTCAAGGTTGACTCATCCTTCCACCCTTCCAGGGTTGGTAAAATGAGGACCCAGATTGTTGGGGGCTACATGTTGACATTGTAAACAGTTCAGAGAATGCCGTTTGGGGTGGTATATAAGTGTAAGTGCTATTAATATTGCTACTTGAGTGCTGACCTAGATTAGAAATGTCCTGAAAGCATCAAACAATATTTAAATAGTAACAGCGAACAGAAACCATTAAATCATAATCCTCCTTTTTAATATAACCTTTTAATACACATGGCCTTTCCCTGCATGGCTCATCTACATTCACTAACCATTCAACTTTTATGCAGAGATCTCCAGATCAATAGAGATCTCCAGATCAATGCTGATGCCATTCTTACCAATCATTGTCTCCCTAACCGAGGATGTGACAAAACTCTATGGATCATAATTGGGAAAGGCTGCCACAGCCTCCTGGCTAGGACATTGCTCACAGTTATTGATGTGATTTCCGCCCCCAGTTTATTCTTTTTTTTTCTTTATTACTGTAAATTGAATTATTACATTGAATGTCTTTCATTGAAGGGTACTCTATGCATTTATTATAGCAGACAACAGTGTATTGGTCCATGATCAGTTTTGTTTTATACAGTTTTAAAATCCGCTTGTAGATACTATGAGAAAGGTAGTTTGTAGCCAGAATCTTTACTGAAGTCCCATTTTAAGAGAAGATGCTATGTTGTTTTGAACTTGCGAATGCACTTGTAGAGCAAGAAGATCTCAGAGATATTGCAAAATATTCTCAGTTGCTTTGAAGATAACTTTAAAAAAACCAACCTACACAAAGTAGAATGCTACATTCCCTTCTTTTTCTGTTTCTTTCACACTTAGATTCAGCTAAGACACTGTTGGAAGACACTACTGTCAAAACCCAGCTCTTCAATCTTTCTGCTAGTGTCAGCTTCTCTTATGCTAACCCTACTTGGAAACTCTTCCTGCGGAAAGAGGTGTGTCATGGTCCCACCTCCTTGCATTGCTTTTCTGGTCATGTTTAGCTACTAAAATTAGTATCTCTGACTTCATGTCCTTCTGTTGTGACAGCATCTCCCACAGTTTAGACGTTTGATGGCTAGTCCTCTTGCAGCTCCCATTCTGCAAAATGTGTTTGGATAATTTCAATGCCTTCTGTCCTGTATGCTTATTATGGATAGTAGTCTTAGGGTTATGAAATCTGGAGTGGCTCACGTGGGTTATTGTATCATTGGTAGTGATCAATTGTTCAGAGTTGGGATAGGTCTAGTGGTTAAGGCTCTGGGCTAGAAACCAGGAGACTCTGAGTTCTAGTCCTGCCTTGGGGGTGAAAGTCATCTAAGTGAACTTAGGCCACCCGTGCTCTCTCAACCCAACACATCTTACAGGGCTGTTGTGAGGAAAATAGGAGGAGGAAGGAGTATTAGGTATGTTTGCCACCATGAGTTATTTATAAAAACAATAAAGGTGGGATTTAAAAAAATATATTTAAAAAATGGGATCAGGATAATGGCAAAAGAGTTACCCTGTGGTAAGATGAGTGGGCAAAAAACTTGATAAAAAATAATGAAAAATAGTAAGCCTTTTTAAATTACAGTGTGAAAGCATATAATTGG